GAAATTGAGTCTGCTCATCTATCTGATCCTATGTTCATTGTAACCTGCCTCATGTCTCAAGGGTGTCTGGTACTCCTCCTGCCAAAGTGAAATGCAAAGTAAATGTAAGGAGATGCCAGAAAGAGAAATGCTATCGGGGCATCTGGTTCTAGTACTGACACTGACATTTTTTAGGTTGTGTGGCCCTGGAAAGAATAATTTCCTCACTCAAACCCATTTTTCTCCTCTGGTAAATAGGAGTGCTGAACTTGGAGAACACTAATAAACTAGCATTGAGCTCTAACATGTGACAAATCCAAGAGCTAAGGTTTTGTCTCTAAAGAAGTACCACAAATGTGATCTTCTTTCAGAATTTAAACGATCACTTTTCTGTGACTCAAAACAAATAGAAAGATGTAGTTCTCTTCAATCAGGTAGTTCTGGAATTTCTCAAGTGAGGCTGATGCTGGGCAGGTTGCTGGTTTAAGAACTGAGGAAGGGGTTTGAGGAGATTTTTAAATTAAATGTGGTGACAGTTGTTCTATCTCTCCCTGGAGATAGTTCAAGTAAATTGAGCATCCAAGCTATTCTGCAAAGGGATGGCTGTAGAGAGACATTTAATGTGATTTCTCACATATTCTACTGTATACTAGATCTTACTAACAATAATAAAATACTAATTCTCACGTAGACGCTGTGCTAAACACTTTGCTTGGATTACCTCTTTTTTTTTTTTTTTTTTGAGACAGAGTTTCACTCTTGTTACCCAGGCTGGAGTGCAACGGCGCGATCTCAGCTCACCGCAACCTCCGCCTCCTGGGCTCAGGCAATTCTCCTGTCTCAGCCTCCTGAGTAGCTGGGATTACAGGCGTGCACCACCATGCCCAGCTAATTTTTTGTATTTTTAGTAGAGACGGGGTTTCACCATGTTGACCAGGATGGTCTCGATCTCTTGACCTCGTGATCCACCCGCCTCAGCCTCCCAAAGTGCTGGGATTACAGGCTTGAGCCACCGCGCCCGGCGGATCATCTCATTTAATCATTCAAACGGCCTTAAAAGTTGTGTGCTATTATTATCCCTAGCTGAAACATGGAGGAACCAAGGTTCAGGATTGTTTAAATGACTTACCTGTGGCAGTTCAGCTGGTTAGTTGGTAGAGTAAGAATTTGAACCAGAGTCTTATTCCAAAGCCCACACTACTATCCTCTGTGTTTTCTTAGAGAGCTTTCCAGGGCTAACCGTTTCCCAAGTCCTCCCCTCTCCCTCCCACCCTCCCTCCCTTCTTCCCTCCAGACTGCAGCCCCTCCTACCCTCATTGTTTATTGTGCCTTCTAAACAATAGCCAATGAGTCTGTGTTCCATTCTAGGGAGAGCTAGGGGTGATTTTATTCCCTGAAACAGAAATGAGGTTGTGACACAAAAAGGTTAAGTGGCTTTCGTGAGGTCACAGAGCCAGCCTGCAGTTAGCAACAGTACTATCTGAGTTCCCTGACTTGGGTTCCTTAACCGACCCTAAGGCCACTTGGCATCCAAGTTTAATTAAGAGAGTTAGTTTAATTTTCCTTCCTATCTCTGATTTTCCATTTTATTGCTGCTTGATAATGTAGATATTGAAGTGCCAGGCATTTTTCTTCTCTAGTGTGCTTTTTAATGACTAAACTTGTCACATAGGAACCACTTGCCTTAGAGGTAAGCGTTCAAAGCCTGTTTCTGTGTATGACAGAGACTGTTGCCTTTTCTCAGAGAAAAATGAGACCACAAATGCAGCTCAGACAGGTTGTTGTTAATTGAGGGCTTTTTTTTTTTCTCTCTCTCTCTCTAAATCTTACATTTATACCAGTAAATCAACATCTGTGAGTCATAAACTGGTTCTGGATCAGCCGTTAGTGGTCTGAATGTTTTTGTACCTACCTTCAGTAAAGCATGTTTTAGCTCAAAAGTCAGAGATTCTTTGTTTTGTTGAGTTCAAGACTCAGGAGTGGACTGCATGCTAGGACACTTCTGGAGAGGGCAAGTTTGTCTTCCATGATTGTTTAACATTACATGTATATTTCTATTTCTTTTTCATTGAGGTTGGGGTGTATCAATAAAAAAGGGAGTTGAGGGAGGAGTATAAATAAAAAAGAAAGTATGCTTTTTACATACTCCATGTGCTTGAGGAATTCCTGTATGAAAGTGACAATTTTCTTAATATTATTGTCTAGCTCCACGATTCTGTCCACCAACTCCTGCAGACTTTTCTTGGCCCTTATTGACTTGATGTTCCTAGTGATCCAAGGCGATTCAGCACTTGGTGGGATATAATTAGCTGAAGTCTAAGGAATGCTTAAAAACACAATTCTGTTTTCTCTAAAATTGAGGAGGAACAGACTGCCACAGTACAAGCATAAGCAAAGAACTATTTCTTTGATGGATTTTTTTTTTCCCTAAGTGCCTTAAAAACCAGATATAATATTGAAGCATCTTGCCCAAGTGGATGAAAGGCAAAATTTGGCTGCTGCTGTTTTGCTGGTGGGGACACTGAGGTATACATGTAACTGAGTGGACATGAGTCCTGGGGATAGTGGTTCTGCTCTACTATGAAGGGAAAAGGGCAGATCTAGAAGGAGAGCCTCTGGCATTTTTTAGTTCATCTTCACAAGCCATAACATATCAAACTCACTTAACCATTGAATTAGGAAGCCCAGAGTGACCAGAAAGCTGATAGTTAATCATTCAACACATACATATTAAGCATCTATAATGTCTTATGCACTACATCATTTTTTAAGCATATAACATAGAAATGTCACTTAAAGTCCATATGAACATTTAGAAAAACCTACCTGTGTCCTAAAGAGAATGAATAAAAATTTCATTTATCAACATTGATTAATCAAGCATGACCCTTGCAGGCCTGATTGGATTATTATATCTCAAATATGTAAAAAATTATTTTAACCTGACCTTATTAGTGCTCTTTATCCAAACCAAAGGTTAGATGCACAACTTCTGATGGTATAAATATTCATAATTAATACCATCTGGATGTAACTTTCCTGGTAGCCTGTGGTGGTGCCTGGCTAATCTCTCCAATTTTCTGCTTTACGTTACCCCATTCCTTGATTTGAACGTTCACGCATTTTGATTCTGTGCTTTGGGACTGGGTGAGGAAAAGGCTGATTGACTATCTGCGTTGCCACTATTGAAGAATTAGAAAGAATAATTTTCCTCATTGCTAGAGTGGAAAGTGTTTACAGTTTAATCATGGTGGGCTTTTTTAGTATCTAATTTTGGTGGATGTTAGCAGCAGTGTTTAGGCTAGTCTGGGGGAGAAAGTTGAGGAGCAGACTGGGGAAGAGAGAAAGGAGATGCTCTGAGGAAGCTGCATTTGAAAATAGAGAACTCACTTGGATTAAAAAATGCCAAATTTTCTTACTACAACATCAACAAAACAAAATTCCCCAAAGCAACTCTAGATTTGTTCACTTCTTCTACTGATGAATACATAGTGAGTAAGGCAGGATTGATTCAAGAACCTTTTCTTTGCGGTTCATTTGGACGTGTAAATGTACAATTCATTCATCAGCTGTTTCCCTAGGCTTTTCCCAGGACCAGAAGTGTCTGTTCTTGTCATCTGGAGGCCAGCATTGTTTTCTCATACCTTTTGGAAACAGCTGGATTGCAACAATCTTTGTTCTTTCAAAAATTAGAACTATCACATACAAATATTTCCCTCTGGTCACTAAGGAGAGACTTAATCTGGAGTTTAGACCAGGAGCCAGAGATTTTTCCTGGCTTCCTCCCCGATTTGCTGTGGGAAACCTGCAAATTACTAAGGCTTCACGGACACAAAACTGGGTTTACATGAAGGTAAGGATGGTGTTAAAATTTGCCAGAAGCAGAGATTACAGTTAGTCAAGTGTTGGGAGTTCAAAAGTGCTTAGAAATCAGGAAACATGTTAAAAATAGCTTTCTCTGAGATTGCTCTGAAAGATTTATGTTTAATCTTTTTGTTGATCAAAGATGGAGCTCAATGCCTGGCTCTAGCTATTTATTTGTACTGGTTGATTTGTACTGGTTGATATATGTACTGGTTGATTTGTTAATTAGGACAAACTATCTCTATTTATTACAACCAATTTATTAGTGGCAAACCATGAATTATTCGGGTTCATTTTCTCAAGTGTGGGAGTTCCCAAATGGAACAGAAACTATGCATTGTGATTCTGTCATGGCTGCCAATGAGGTACTCCAGAAATTTAAAACCACAGAGCCTCGGCATCACTTTTTTGGTGGCGGTCGTTGGGGGGGTTGTTTTATCTAACAGAGGAGCGTCTGTGAAAGGAGAGACAAAGCTTTGGCCAATGGCGACATAATTAGAGGAACAGGATAATTAGAAATAAATTATAACTTCTTCCACCAACCACTGCCGGAGGTAAACTGGCAGCTTACGGAAGCCCACGGCTGGGTTCTAGTTTGGGGTCCCGTTCTGGACGCTCCGGCCAACGCAGGAGCATGACAAGGATGGGCTCTGAAAAACTGAAGCCTTCCCCCAAAACACACGCCGTGACTCAAGACCCGGCTGGAGTCCGATATTCCTAAAGCCCCTTGAAGACACCGGCTCCCGAATCCCCCGCGCCCGCCCGCACGCTCGCCTTCGTCCACATGCCTCACGTCCTGTGTGTCAGTCTCTGTGAATGAATGATGCACACGCACTTGGGAAAGTATGCCGCTACTGGGAGGGGCGGGACCGGGTGACCAAGCCCTCAAGAATGCGTGGAGAATGAGACGGACTTTCCCGGCACGGTGGAGGCGGCCCGTGCGCCCTTCCCGCCCCGGCCTGGGTGCCCCGGCCCCGGGCTCCGCGCGCTGCGCCTCCGCGGCCCCGACGGGGTCCCGCGCTCGCCCGCCCTTCCTTTCGCTTTGGGCCGCGGGCGGCGATTGGTCGCGGCGCTCGGCCCCACCCCCGACGCCCCCCCCGCCCCGACGCCCCGCCCCTCCCCGCCCCGACGCCCCGCCCCCGTTCCCCACCGCGGACAACGCCGGGCCCGGGGCGCGCGGACCCAGCGGCCGAGACGCGGCGCCGCGAGAAACGCCCTAAAGAGGAGGGGAGAGCGCGGGACGGCGAGAGGGAGGGAGAGCGGCCGGGAGCGCGAGGGCGAGAGCGAGCGAGGCAGCCGCCGGCGGAGCGGAGGGAGCGGGCGAGGGCCGGGCGGGAGGAGCGGGCGCGGCGCGGGCGAGGCTGGGAGCCGAGCGCGCTCACTTGGCCGCAAAGTGCCAACTTCCCCTGGAGTGCCGGGCGCGCACCGTCTGGGCGCGGGGGACAGGAAGGCAGTGGGAATTTGATATTTTAGGGAAGAGATTCGGATCTCCCCCGTCCCCTTCCCCTTGTTACTGATCCCCATTAAAAAGAAAAACAACAGTAACTGCAAACTTGCTACCATCCCGTCCGTCCCCCGCTCCTGGCACCATGAAGGCGGCCGTCGATCTCAAGCCGACTCTCACCATCATCAAGACGGAAAAAGTCGATCTGGAGCTTTTCCCCTCCCCGGGTGAGTGGCGACGGCCGAGGCCCCCACCCAAGCTCTCGGCCAGAGGCCAGGGGTCCCCTGGACTTCTCCCTCCTTTCGCTGTTCCCTTCTGGGCGGTGCAGTTCTTCAGGAGCGGGGGATGCTGTTGGCAGCTGGATTAGGAGGACAAGGAGGAGGAGGAGGAGGAGGAGGAGGAGGAGGACGACTGTTGGTGGCCCGAGACCCTTGGTTTAGGGGGTGGCATTTATTTTCACAGCTGTGTTTTTGTTAGTGATGGGGAAAAGCTTATAGAATTTCCAGTGTCCCATTCCTGCTTTTTTATTTTCCCAAAAGAGCGAGAACCCTCTGGTCTTATTCCTTAATGATAAGGGGAGATGGACGCTGCCTCAGAGGACATCATCCCCTGACTCCATGTCCCCTAGAACGGATGCTGGGTAGAGGGCCGCAGGCAGTCTAACGGGCTGGCCTTCAGGCAGATTTTCAAATAACGTCTTGCCTCCCCAAGCGTCCATGTCACAAGCCTTGCCCCTCTTCTGGGTTGAGGATGAGGAGACCGGAGGAGAACTGAAATTATCCTCTTGACTTCGGGAAACGTCTGACCCTATTCATGCAGGTTGCTTACTTTACCTGTTTCTACTCTGCCATAAATTTTTCTTCTGGTACCAAAGGTCCATTGGAAGGAAAGCATCCAACACCCAAATGTGACTTTGTGTCTTTGGTTCATGGTGGTGTCCAACTCTCATTTGTATGCATTTGAAGAAGACAAGGATAGGAAGTTTGTTTGTTTGTTTGTTTGTTTGCTGTCTTTGACACACATATTGGTGCTAAGCAGTTTAAGGGAGTCTGGCCTTACAGAATTTTGGAACAAATGCAGTTGGAAAGGGAAAGATGCTTTCTTTTAGGATAAGGCACTGCCAGCTATCCTTAGAGATGAGTGATTTTGGAGGTGAAGCTATATAGAAATATATAGGGAGAAGGCAGTACATCCTGGAAAATAATTGCAAGAACAGGCTCCTCTGTTGTATCTGATTATCAGTAAGTTTAGTTGCTGCCCCCTGTGAATAACACTTCTTTGCCTCTGCCATAATTTATTGCTTACTTTAACCCTTTCTTAATCTGCTTAAACTTTCAACACAACCAAGCTGTTGTTTTGTCATTCTGAGGTCCTTCAGAAATATTAATAAAGACATGTAGGTCATGCTTTCCACGCCCCCCCCACCCCCCCGGGGCCCCCTGACATTCAGCTCCAGGACTGCTGTGCACAGAAGGCTGAGATTGTGTCACCTCTCAAGGATGATGGTGGTCAGAGCAATGCCCTGAGCGCAACTGGGGCCATGGAGACATTGCAGGCACTTAGGCCTACGATTCAGAGATGATGTTTCTAAAGATGGTTGTATTGGGGGTTCAAGGAAGCCAGAATGAGTTCTGTTTGTCACAGTTGATTCAAACCATATATAGAAGTGAAAGCATAGTTCACAACAAAGATATAAACTCAACGAATAGGTCTTTTCCTTAAGAACGGCTTGTTTATATGTGTGTTATGGGTGTGTATGGGGGAAGAGACAGATTTGGTCATCTGGGAAATATCGTGTCGATATGCCAGTCCACATACCTAAAATACATCTTTCATCCTGGGAATGAAAAAGAGCCCCCGGCAACACATGTTTCAGATCACAGCGAACAGCTGAAGCAATTTTTTTTGGTAATTTAATATTAAATATTAGTAGAGACAGCGTATATGGTGCTATTCAGTTATTGATTAAAAATAAACTCTGGGCAAGTAACTTTCTTTAGCTTTCTCATCTGTAAATTGGGGACGATAGGGCCTAACACTACAGTCAGTGTCCACTATAATAAGCATATTTGCAATGGCTTTTTCAAGAAAGATTTCCAAGCCACTGGTCATCTTTTGTATATGACCTTCAATACGACAAAATTTCAACTGGCCAAAGAAATTGGGCAGTCTTCTGCCATTCATTGTAAAGAGGTTTGATTTCTAGCACCATTATTTATTATCTAGGGGAAAATAAAGACAGAAACTTGAAAAAATACATAGACTATAATCAACTATTTTTTTTTTTTTTTCTGGTCGTTTAGTTGCTTATATGTGAACATTATACCCATACCTCAGAGAGGAAAATAGAGTTACAGAAAAAGTAAATAATTGACATAAAAATAGGTAGTGAGCCAGTGGCTGAAGTATAATCAATTCCTTTTTCTAACTTCTCAATGTCTATTGCTTTGAGTAGTGTTGCAAGTTACCTTCCAAAAGCTTAGCAAAGAAACCCCAACTGAGACTTAACTTGCAGGTGCAAAGGAAGGATGGGAGAAACTGTTTCTGGGCAGGGCTGTCTGCTTTTGTTGGTGGAAGGATAAGACACTAAGTGTGGATTTGCCTTGCCCATCCGACCATATAGGACATGTGTTTAAAGTTTAACTTCTTACAGCCTAGCTTTTTATCCGCAGCTGTGACTTAAATATTTGTCAGAATGATTTCTTTGGGTTGCTTAGTTTCTTATGCAAGGAGACAGCTAGTGTGGGATCTTATCTGGCTTAAATGATTAAACCAGAATTTCCTCCTCATCCCCTCCCCAATTCATGAGTGCCAAACAGAGGCAGCAAGGAAGTGGGGTGTCCAAACCAGAGCCGCAAGACCTGTATTATTTGTCTTCCTGGCTAGGACCTGACCAAGAACCTTTATGCACTTTTATTCTATTTTGAGACTTCACAGGAGTTTGACAGCGTTAAGTACCAAATTAACATATACTCTGAAATAACATTAGAATTGACTTTTCCTTGCAAGTGTAAGTGTAAGGTGGGATATGCTGTCTGATTGCAACAGTGTGATTGCAAGAATCTTAAATAGCTTAAAAACAAGCAGCCATTGGGTTCACTCCTGGTTCTCTCCTGGTGGAGCCTGCTGCGAGGGGCTGGGTGCCAAAGCCAACACATTCCCAAGCCACTTAATTTTTCCTTTCCTTCACCACTCTGCTCTACCTTCTTGGTGAGGTGAGCTTAATGCCTAGATAAGAGCAGGAGCTCTAATCCTGGATATTCCGTTTTATAAGAATAAAAGGATCAGCTTCTTAACCCATCCGCCCCCAGCAGAGGGTGTCCATCCGTCAGGAACATGCATTGTACTTAGAGATAGGAAGAAGCTTTGTCCTTGCTCAGCTTGGTCTGTCTTTGTTTCTTCATCAGTGTAGACAAGAAAGAAGGGCAGAGCTGCCCAGGCTATGAGATCACTCGCTCACTGTGCTCCCAGATCGCCACCGACCATACTCCATTAGTGACTAAAGAGCCCCGTGGTTCAGAGCAGCGACTCTGGAGCCAGCCAGTCTGGATTTGAATCTCAGCTCGGCCACTTAGTAACTGTGTGACTTTGGACAAATGACTTAATCTCTCTGTGCCTCAGCTCCTGCATCTATAAAATGAGTGTAATCATTCTACTTCATAGCGTGAATGTGAGGATTAAATCTGTAAGTATGTGCAAAATCTTAAAACAGTGCCTGATCCATTATAACTCTTGTTTAACAGTTAACTACAAAACAAGTCAACAAAAAATGATCGTGACCAGCGTAGAATTTTCAGAGACCCATGAAATGTTTTTTAGGAGATAAGGTGGCTGTATTGTGTATCTCCTGATAATCTATTATTTGAGAGGGAAAGAAGAGTAAAGTTAAAAGAGGACTTTTTCACCTGCTTAGCTGAGCTCTCATGCCATGAAGCTTCATTCTGTTCTCCAGGGAGCAAACAGTGAGAGGTAACTTTCAGAGTGTCTTGAAGGCCATCTCTCACAGTTCGAGGCACAGGGGTTTGCCAGTTACTTTGGGTGATGCAGATTGTCATTGTCACCTCAGAGCAGGAAGGCGACCAAGTCTAGGGGCAAGGGAAACATTTGCAGGTTTGATGGAAAAGTCAAGTTTTCGATTATACAGGGCTGAGAAATGCATCATGTCCAGTTATTATAAAGCATCTCCTATTTTATTTATTTATTTGGTTGGCAGAGCGTGCATTCCTGACATTTTTGGTTGGTTTGTGTTGCTGGTTTTTTTTTTTTTTTTTTTGTCTGTGTAGACTTTTTTTTTTTTTTTTTTTTTTTTTCTCTTAAAGAGGTCAGACCACCCTGTAGGAGCATTGCCTCCCTTTAGGAGACAAACCAGCCCGTGGTCAACCTCCTAGAGCCCAGCTCACTTTGGGCTCTGTCAAATCTCTGCAAAACTGAGAGCTGCTTAGTGTAGGTCAGGATTTTTCAGGAGAGTTTCCCTGTTTCAGAGTGGAGAAGATAACTCTACAATGGCTACAGTGACAGTATAATTACAGATGTCTCTCTGGTTTGTGTAATGAATAACCCATGGCTGTGGTGGCATTCCATGAGCTTGCATTGAAAGTAGTAGGTTCGTGCCACTCAAAAGTTGTTGGGATATTTCTCAAGCACACATTGAGTCTGCATTGTGTGCTGGACACAGTCAGCTGAAAGAGTACTTTTATGCTTCACCCTTACTCTGAGGTGTCGTGGACGTATTACTTTCTCCATTTTTCAGATGAGGAAATGGAGATTCTGAGAGATGCATACTTTGCTTAAGACCACACTCTAGAAATTTATAAACTGATGAGATGTAGGCATTATATACCTAAAATAAAAGCACCATGTTATTTTCAAAAACTCTGGAAATCAGAACACAGCAGGTAAGAGGCAGTGGTGGTCGGTACTCTGGGGGTTTAGGAGGCACAGTGGCTCCCTGCTGTTTCGGCAAGACTCCCCTGAGCTGAATTAGGTGGCCTCCTTGTTAGCCCAGTGCCTCCTATGGCTTGGAGAAAGGGTCCATCCTGTGGGCTGTCCACAGGCCTGGCAGTCCAGATGTGCTGCTTTAGAAAGATGTTTAAAAGTTTCAGCAGTGCTTACCTCAGATTGAAAGACAGAGAACCAGGGTTCTTGTTTTTCCATCATCTTCCAGGTGGCCTTGGCTCCCTCACAGGTGGGAAGGTGATTATGTTCACCTCCAAGGTCAAACCTTCAC